TTTTTCCCTAGTTTTACTAGAAGCAGCTATCTGGGGCAGGAGTAGGAAAAATAAGGCCTGTGGGCTGCATCATTTCCCCAAAGCCCCCATCCCAAACCCCTCCACACTAAAAATGGAAATTCAGAACTTCAGAAGCCTCCAAGCAACACACATCCTTTTCCTGCATCTTTGTCTAGCCCCTGAATCTCTCAAAAAGAAACTAGAAGTCATCTTCTGTTCAACAGAAACTTGATGTGTGTCTCACAGGGGTCTTGTGGGATGGGAATTGGAGCAGATACACCCCCACTCCCTCCCACCCTGCCATGGCTGCTCACACTTACTCTAGGGCAGGGGTAGGCAACCTTTCCCCTTTAAAGGTCGAGGGACTTCAGCTCCCAGAATCCCAGGAGCTATTGGCCAACATGGGACTATTGGCCAACATGGCTGAGGCTTCTGGGAGCTGAAGTCCCTTGGCCCTTAAAGGGGAAAGGTTGCCTACCCCTGCTCTAGGGTGTAAGACAGTAGTCTTTTTTTGCAACCTGCTTCCTACTCCTTTAACTGGAGATGCCAAGGACTTCAGCTCTCTACGTGTACAGTACCTATACTATTGAGTGAGACAGTCCTTCACCAAAGAGTGAAAGCCACCTTACTGGTTTGGTAGGGAGAAAAATGAGATGAGACCATGGGTGCTATCCTAAACTCTGGGGAAATGGCATAAAAATATACAGAAATCAAAAAATGGAGAGGAGTGCAACATGTTTTTCAAAAATTTCTCAATCCATTCCTCTGGTGTGGAATGCTTCTTAAGTCTCACCCAGATGAATGGTGAGCTTGGGCTAAGGACACACGTGTTGAACAACACATGAAACTATAACATGCATGGATTGGATAAACCATTGCAACAAAAAGGCGATAGGGGCCCTCTCACACTACAGACATTATCACACAAGCTTTGGTCTCACCGCAATCATGTTAGTAAAAGGAAAGGGAAATATACCAGTTTAGGAGTATTGATTACTGCATTTCTTTGCAATAATGTGAGTAGGTTGTTTGTTCAATTGAGATCTCCTATGCTCTCTTCTGCACTCCTCCTTAATCCCACTTTCCTGCCTTATGCTCTACCACAGTGTGCTTTCTTCAAAATTAATTTTAATTTGTAACACAATTACAGAGTGTGCTAACGTGATTTAGGAAAAAAAGAAAACAGCCAGCTTGAGAATAGTGAGAGGAAGGAGGGAGAGGGAAAGAGGAGGAGAATTGTGCCACTAATGCCATGTGACTGCTCGATACTGGAACTAGAGCAGGAGAAATTTATCACCCCTGTGGAGTAATGGGAAAGCAGCACAATTGGGAGAGTATTGATGGGTTTTCCTGTCAATGAAAATGGATACTGTAATGACAGTTTGAAGGCAAAGCAGCAGAAAGACAGAGGAATGTTGTATGATAAGTATGGTGAAAGAAACTATTCTTTAATTGCACATTAAAAGCCTCCTGTGACAATCTCCTACTTGTTTATAATATTTGGATTCCTTTTTAACTGCCATGACAATATCCTATGTGATCCTGAGATTTACAGTTTATGGATGGGTATTAAGAATCACAGCCAGAGAGCTCTAGTTCCTCACCAGACTACAAGCCCCGGGATTCCATAGGATGCAGCTGTGGCAGTTAAAGTGGAGCCAGAGTGCTATAACTGTGTAGTGTGAAAGGGCCTAAGGTGTGCTCTTTGAATCAATTCATTTCATTTCTAAAATCTCATTAACAGAAAGAAATATGGTAAGCAAATTTGTTTGGATACACCAGCTCTGATTTAGAAATGAAAGGGGGTGGATAACCTTTTTCAGCATTTTCAATTTATCAAATGTTCAGAATTTATCAAATTTATGTTTTCTGTATCAATTTGTGAATCAAGATGCAGTTACCATTTGGTATTCCCAATGCAAAAATTTACAAGAATTTGTTTTATAATGCCTATAAACATGTATAAACATATGTCATTCATTTGTGGAAAAAAACTTGTAAAATTGCATATATAAGGCAAAACTGAGTACAAAAATATATGTATTAGGAGAAATATCCACAAGAATGGATACAAATGTTTGCTTTTAAATAGAAAAAAATGATATGGAAACAGGACAGGTTCAACAGGGATTGAAAAACAAAAGGAAACCAGCTGAAACTGACAGAGGTATTCATCTGTACTGAAAATCTCTAATTTATTGAATGATCCATCAGATCCATATTCTGTATTTCTTCATGGCTGAAATGAAATATGGCTTTCAACATTTTTTATTAAAAACATACCAGTAAAATACAAAAAAATATATACTTATTAATACTAAGAATTTATTCTTTGCTGAGTTTGTTCTTAAAGGAAGCAATGACTAACTTTAGCTATTGTCTTCCTGGTGTGAGAAAGTGTTCCAAAACCACACAGTTTGGGAAGACAATGCACAATTTGGAACTTCTTCTGTACAAAATTCATACATAGTACTTTTGCACAGAAAACAGCACTGTCTGCAGACAAACATATTATGTGCAGAAAATAACAGTTCTGTGAAATTATACTATCTACTGTGCATATCATGCTGTTTCCTTTGCATAAAATGCTGTTTTCTGTGCTAAACAACCACATGGAAATTTTGCATAGAATAAGGTCTGAACTGCTGAGATTCTCATCAGTCCATTATTCTTCTCATTAAGGTTTTGCAACACTAAGAAACAAGATTTTTGGTCATTTTTGGATATTTTTGAATATTCCTTCCATTCCTAATGAAAGCACATATTAAAATGTTGTCATTGGCTGCATCTGCACTGCAGAAAAACCCAGTTTTACACCACTTTAACTGCCGTGGCTCAATGCTATGGAATTCTGGGAATTCTGGGAATTATAATTTTGTGAGATATTTAGCCTTTTCTGTCAAGAAGCTCTGGTGCTACAACAAACTTCAGTTCCCAGAATTCCATAGCACTGAGCCGTGGTAGTTAAATCGGTGTCAAACTAGATTATTTCTGCAGTACAGATGCAGCTGTTATGTACCTCCAAGTTGTCTCTGACTTATGGTGATCCTATGACACCGTTTTCTTGTTGATATTTGGTCAGAGGGGTTTGCTCTTGCCTTCCTCTGAGGCTAAGACAATATGACTTGCCTAAGGCCACAAAGTGGGTTTCTATGGCTGAAAGGGGATTTGAACCCTGGTCTCTGGAGTTGTAGTTCAGTACTCAAACCACTACACAACACTGCCTCTATTAAAATGACTGTACAGTTAAAACATAAAGCAAGTTAACACAGCAAGCAAGTTAAATCTTCTCAATAATACTGAATAAAAGTAAAGTATTTAAAAGTCCAGTTTGTTTATTTAAAACCACATCTGTTGCTGATGGACTGCCTAAACAGAAAATTCATCAGCTCCTAGTGCAAAGACAACAGAGAGAAAGCTAGGCTAACATTCCTTAGAAGGGAATTCTAAAATCTGGAAGCAGCCAACAAGAAGGGGATCATTAAATCTCACCAACCAAAACTCTAAAGTTTGCAGGACAGACAGGAAGGCCTCTCCTGCAGTTCTAGAAGTCCAGTCACCCTTTTAGCAAGGAATATGGTTTTTCAGTCTGCCTGGACCTAAACTGCACATGTGGAGACCTTTTGCTTGCAATACTGTTCAGTTTATTGATTAATCCAGAAAGGGGGTTCAATTAACCACTTACACCAAACTTCAAAAACAGCATGCCAAATGGTAGAAAACTAGAGTAAATCTTAATTCAGATCATCAGTTCTAGTTCCCACATTGGAGAGCTTGTGTAGGTGAGAGTAGAGCATGAAAAGATACCTTTTTCGATTAGAGCTCCCAGGATCCCCCCAGCATGGTTTGCCCCAGAATGTCCCAGTAACTTTTCTAGACTCTGGTAGAGTGGTTTGTGATATGTATCTCCCACAGGAATGTATAAAGTTGAACTATATTTCTGGATCAAAGCCTACAAGTTCAGCACCTTGGATAGCTCCTTTAAATGTTTAGTTAAAATCCGAAACAGATTCACCACCCAGCTGACATAGAAGCCACTAGTTGCCAATGGCATTTGCTTAAGTATTTGCTTAAATATATTTGTGAGTTCCATTATTTTATTTTGATAATTGGAAACATGTTCTATACCTGAATTCTAGAGAACTCCATTATAATTAAGCTCCTCTCACCTGATCCTATACAAGGATGGGGAAGGCCTTCCATAACTTATATTTGTCATTAAAAATGTTTAAGCTTCAGTCCCTGGCATCTTCAGTCAAAAGAAGAATCAAGAATATGAATCCAGTGTGAGAGAGTGCTGGATTGGGGTAGAAGATCTGGTTTCTAGTCTCCACTGAGCTGTGAAACCAACTGGGTGAAACTGGACCATTTACATTCTCTCTCAGCCTTGGCTTACCTCATAGGAGTGTTGTGATGGAAAGAGGAGAAAAGAGAGAGCCATGTGCACCCACCTTCACTGGAAGAATGGCTGGATATGTGCTTGTGTAGGAAAACTTGTTTTACCAGAGTGCGGGAGTCAGAGTGGTGTAGTGGTTTAAGCATTGGGCTATGACTCTGGAGGCAAGAGTTTGAATGCCTGCTCGGCCATGGAAACCCACTGAGTGACCTTGGGCAAGTCACATTCTCTCAGCCTCAGAGGAAAGCAAAGGCAAACCCCCTATGAAAACATCTCATCAAGAAAATCCCATGACACCTTCAGGCTGTACCTTCATTTCTGACATGAAGGTATACAAGAACAAGAAGAAAGACAAGGAGGTTTTGGACTACAACTCTCAGAATCTCCCTGCCAGCATGGCTACTGGTCATGTGGAGGTGTCTGGGAGTTGTTGTCTAATGCCCCCCGCCCCAACTTCTCCACATTCTGGCCCAGATCCAGTATGTCGCAACATAATCTAATAGTCTGACAGGTGGAACTACACTACATCTGTCCTCCCAAACCCCTGACTTACCTTTTCCCTGTTGTAGGCCCTCCATGACCAACTGGTGGTTGGAGAAGAGCAAGGGTCTGGCTATGTCCCTGTAGCTACTCCCAGACTGATGACATCATTTTGCTGAGATCCATTGTTGTCCTCCAGAAGTCTCAGAATATGATAGTTTCTCCAATCCTCTCTGTCTTATGACCAACTATTGAATGGCCAGTGAGTGGAGGCTGTAGCAGATAATCAGTGAGTCATGGGGTGGCTGGTCATTGGGAAAGATGGGGGGATACCAATTTCTGTGATGACCAAAGAACCCCAACCCAAAACATAAGCAGCATATGAATGTACTCCTGCACATGCCACTAAGAGAATGTCAGTCATCATATTTAACTGCTCTGAGGGGGTGGGGGTGTATGACATAGTTTGCATCCCTTGTGTCATGCTAGGTTTTTCTCCTTTCTGCTGCTCTTCTCAACTAACTCCTCAGAGGAACTAACTGCAGATTTACGTTCCATAAATTTTTCATTATTCTCATTTTATGCAATGTGGTCAATGAGTGATTACTTATTTAATATATAGTGGGCCCTTGGGGTTTGGTTCCTGGACCCTCCATAGACACCAAAATATCTGAATGCTCAAATCCAATTATATATAGTGGTATAATAAAATGGGTGTTACTTATATAAAATGGCAAAACCAAGGTTTGATTTTTGAAATTATATATATATATATATATATATATATATATATATATATATTCATTCAAGCTGTGGATGTTTGAATCCATGGATGCAGAATCCATGGATACAGAGGGCCAACTGCATATTTTCCTTCCTAGAGACTGATGATTTCCTTCTCCCATGCACCTGATTTCCTACTCACAATGCCATGAGATAGATTAGGCAAAAAGTAAGTGTGAGGTCCAAAGTCACTCCACAATTCCCTTGGATGAATAGAACTTTAACTAATCTCACTCCTTGCCAGGTTCTCCAATCCAGGTATGGCATTCTAACCACTACATTACTAGATCTGCATGAATACTAACTGGGATTTAGCCTATGATTAGTCAGCGGTATATATGAAGCAGTATATAAATGAAGATGCTTTGCACTGACTCCCAGTCATTCCTGGTACCAAACCCCTAAAATTGCCATGGTACCAGTTTATCTTTCCCCATAAATACCTATCGATATCTTAAAATGCTCTTCAGAGGCTGTGTTTGAAATGAGATGAGATTGACATCACGAGCAAGAGTCTCTGTAGTTACAGAACACCTTTCCCAGAGGATTGCCTGGCATAATCTTTGTCGTCTTTTCAGCACCAGAACTTTTTAATTCACCCAGGCCTTTTGAACAATATGGCCTAAATCCAGTTGCTAAACCCAGGAAAGCAGATTCATTGAACCAGCTGCTGAATGGAACAGAGGTGTTGATTTACAATTCAGCACTCTTTTGAATTAAAATTGGTCCTGTGTGCAATAATTTCTTCTGTTTGCTCATTGAAACAACATTGGAACAAGTCTGGTTACCAGGAAGGAGGGAGAGGGAAACACCTTGGGTTCAGTCCAAATGCATTTTGTGAATCCTCCTTCACACTACTACAGAAAGGTGGTAGTACTCTAATGGGGTAAAAGATAGCCTCCTAATATGGTACCAAAGATGCTTCCCCAAGCAACTACTTGGCACACTTGTATGGATGACCAATTCTTCTTATATTGAGTCTAAATTTAACTGAATATATATCAGGCTAGTAACTTAACAACTGAAGGCCTCTGAGAAATATGGCACAGCCCAGAGAGATACAACTCATTTGATTGCTTTAGTTATGCATTTCTGGCCTATGGCTGGCATTTGACATACCAGCTGAAAACAGCCTCTTCAACAGTGCATCTGAGTAATATCTTAAGAAAGAAACTCAAGTATCTGATTTTCTTTCAATACAAACACTGAAACCCTTGAACTCTTTTTAAAAAATCATTTACATCTGGTTTGTGAACCTAGGCATACTATGGTAAAGCAAGTGGAATAGATAATTTTTTAAACTTTCATATTCACCTAGAAAATCAGTGAATAAAATGATAGGATGCTGGTGATGAGCTCTTTCTTGCTTAGTCATTTATGCATCCACTTATATACTGCTTGAATTGATTTGCATTTTCCTTGGTGAATGTTTTAGATGAACTGTAACATGCTATAGAGGCTTTTAAAAAAGAGAAGAACAAGTAAACAGTAGGGTCACTACATGAAGAAGTTGGTGAAATGCTAACAGGGGACAAAGAGAAGGCAAACTGTGCTTGACCTGGTGAAAATAGAACAAGTGATGCAGTAAGGGAACTTCACCTCAGCATAGGTTAAAAAGTAATAAAGAAATACCTAGCTACTCTAGATGAATCCAAGGGCCTTTACAGACTGCCAGAAATAATGCAGCTTGAGTCCA